TATATATATATATATATGTGTGTGTGTGTGTACACATATAATTGACTATAATTTAATGTAACAATTTACTAACAATGTTTAATGTTGATTTACATATTGCATTAGATCGTGGAGACCATGTCTTATACGGATAAAGTGGCCAATTTTCTGGGAAGTTTGGATACATTTTATGAGAGCGTTCCTCAGGAGGATTTGGAGCTACTTGTTGGCCCTGTTTTAGAGCGGATGCGTTCGCAACCTGGTTCACCATTGTCCGGTTCACCCTTGGGTTGGTATTTGTAAACGTTCATAATACAAGCATTACTTTTATTTCAATATCTGGTAAGCAATAAATGGACATTCTGTTAAAATATATATCGAAAAACTATAATAAACGTATATTGCACAGCATCGAGAGAAACATCGCCACACAGGGTTTGTAATATGACTAGGCACATCGCGAGTAGTTTAGAGACTAGTCCAGCCAGTAGTAACAGTGCGAGTCCATTACCACCGGACACTGACGGCGAGGAGGAAGAATTCATAGATACCGTCGAAGTAAGTTGTTCATATTAAAGACGTGAAAGAAAGCATCTGGTATCAAAGTGAAAGATTGTTTCGTTTTGAGTTAATGAAATTTTATTTTTTACATACAGACTGCTCCGGAACGATCGCAAAAGGAAACAATGAAAATTTCTACTTCGAGCCAGAAAGTATCGAACGGAATAAACGTTAGCAATGACGCATTTAACGAGCTAGTCGTTTCAAAGGAGAATTCTTCGGAATTGACTAATGGATACACCAATATAAGTGGTTACATGGAGACAGTAGTAGACAGTAAACAAGAAAGGAGCAGACAAAGGAATAAGCGAGATGAAAAATCAAATGTTGATTTTTTTAATCAAGTAGCCACAACTATGCAAAATTTACAAAGGGACTTGGACAGAATAACAGCTAGAGTACGCAGCTTAGAAGGTCAGGCATTACATGCGTTAGCGCCGCAAATCGTAAGTTTACTTTTAATGGCCAAATTCCAATCTTCAGATTGTTCGCATTAGATGTTATTTCTTTTCGCATGTAATCACTTAACGACTTATTGCATTTCAGAGACAGCCTACAACAAGTCCATACTCGAAATGGTGGCCTTTACCGGAATGTTCTCCGCGATTATTCGCTATATTAATTCTGTGGCCGTTTATTGCACAGTTTTTAATTTTATTCGCGCAACGCTATCGTCAGCGGAGACTGTGATCTAAATGTTGTTGTTTTGTTTAAAACTTATTCCACTACTTATCATTAAGTAACATTAAACACAAACAACACGATAATTTGTAGGTATGGATGTATAGAGGCGTTCTTTTAAGAACCGTAAATTCGAAAATGAACTTCGTGGTTCCTTCGTGTATCCTGCGGGAATCAATCACAAAGTGATCCCTTTATCGTGTAGATAACTGTTTCAGTAAAGTAACCGATTATGTAACATTTTCGAATTCCATAAATTGCTCNTTAGTCGTTGAGTATGTTTATATATTCGGAACAGGTAAATTAATCTGCTACCTAAGGTGACTTATATGTATGATAAATAAATATATGCATTCATATATTGTAACATAGATGCGAAAGTTATATACAAATTTTATATTGTGAATTCAGGTTAAAGGTATAAAATAGAATTTATTAAAATGTGCAATCTTAAGAAAAACAAAAAAAGGGAAGAATGAAAAAAATCGAAACTGTAATTTATTTAGAACGGTTTTGTTACTGTTCTTTATTATACAGTGATATCCCCGTTTTCAATTATTTTCATATAATATTAAGTTTAAAATAGTTGTATTATGAGATTTATGTACAGATATTGTATAAAAATATACAATTTTCAATTATATGTTCAATCAATCGATCAATCAGTGCCATTGATAATTACAATGACGTTCACCCTTTTAAAAGCTCCGTGTTGTTTGTATTTCTTTTTGTACTGTATTACAACCAGCTGATTAAACATGCTTCTTATAGTTTGAAAAATCAGTCTGACCCTGCTGCACTCGTGTAATAGTAAAACAATGTTATTGACGACTATCTTTTAAACGCGTATCCGACGATGTTACATAAACCAATGAATCGGTTCATGTAATTACGATATTGATATTCTCAATTCATAACGCTTCGTTGTGTTTAACCCTTATCACTTCAACTGGCAGTACATAATACTACCACAAGCTTAAGCCAGCATTGGAGTGATAAGAGTTAACATTATATACAATGAATTACGTGATAATTTATCGCAATCAAGAGTCAAATATAAACATGAATTGTATTGTATGTGTAACAGTTATATATGTATATGTATATAGGTTCTATGTACCAAAACCAATTTTGAAAAAGATTTTTCAGATGAGTACCACTGTCCAAGTGAATAACCCTAACCCGAACCTGGACATACCGATATTGGCAATAACAAAGCATTCGAATATATTTCGCAACAGTTAGATTTTTAAAAGGTCGGATGTTTGTGCCTTGAACATAATATCGCATACATATGTGGTCTGTAACACATTTTAGTCGAGGTGAGCGAGCAAATATTAACGTCAACGTTTATGCGTGCAATGTACTATGTATGTATGTAATTTGTTTGAACTTAGAAAATGTTGGGATTGTTGCAGTATTCCACAGGTTGCGGTAATCAATAGATCGATGTCTAATTTAATTTCCACGTGAAACCCCTCTTCTCAGAGGCCCGGAAGTGTAAAAGAAATGAACAAAAAATGTCAAGCTTGAATGGAAATCTGCTAATCATAATCTTGGCATTATCGATCTCGAATTTCTCACAAGCGGAAGACAAAGATGCGGGGACCATTGTTTTTGCTAATATCGTAAGTTCGAATTATGTTATTTGTCTTAACAAAATATACAGCAAGAAATAATAACAATTTAGATTTTCATTATGCGTCCATTATGATTGAATATTAAAGTATTTTCATATACGTGTACATATATTTCAATGAATGATAATTAGAAACATTTGTAGACTGAATAACTCTAAAAAAGTATACAACAAACAGAAACAGGATACATTTGCATGCTTGCTACCTTTTATTTACATATGAGACTTTATTTTTCTTACGTTTATATTTAGCATTGTATGTATTTACTTTTTAGCTGTACAGACACGGAGATAGGACACCTATAAGACCTTATCCTAATGATCCTTATAATAATGAGAGCCTTTGGCCTGTACCATATGGTCAGTTAACTAACGTAAGTAGTTAGCCATTATACATATGTTTCAACAATAATGTATCAGATTCTTTAATTTCTTAGTATCCCTTTTTCTTCGTACATTATTAAGAAAACAAACTAATCTATGTAGATATACTTTGTGTATGAAACTACCGATTGTATATAAAATATTCTAAGATCCTTCTATATTCTGTGGTAACACTTAAATATCTACTAATATGTTTATTATGTGGTATATAGCGTGGAAAACATCAGCATTTACAGCTTGGTCGTTGGCTTCGCAAACGCTATTCGCATCTTCTGAGCAACTTCTATACTCCATATGATATCTATATTCAAAGCACCGATGTAGATCGTACTTTAATGTCAGCAGAATCACATCTTGCTGGTCTTTATCCGCCATATGGCAATCAAAGATGGGACAATATACAATGGATGCCTATTCCAGTCCATACTATTCCTGAAGATAAGGACTATGTTCTGGCTGCTAAGAAGTATTGTCCAAAATATGATTACGAACTGGAAAAAGTCCTTAATTCTGCTGAAATGAAGCATATAGATGAAGAGAATAAAAATTTATATGCATATTTAACAGAGAAAACGGGAAACAACATATCCTCTCTTCGAACTGTGTTACAACTTTACGACACTTTATTTATCGAGGTAATATTAGTGTATTATATTCTTAGTGGGTTATCAGCATATTAATTCGGTAGACTTTTTCCAGAATATCTATAATAAAACACTACCAGAATGGACAAAGTCAGTATTTCCCGATAAACTGAAACCTATTGCTGATAAAAGTTTTACAATCGAAGCTTACAATAAGATTCTTCAAAGATTAAAATCAGGTAAATAGAATTCTTAAAGTGCAATTAGAAAAGCTAAGGAATAAAAACAAAATATATAATACAGGATCTCTATTGGGAGAGATGATAGATCATATGGAGAAGAAGTCGAGAAATTCACTAATACCGGATAGAAAAGTATGGATGTACAGTGCCCACGATGAAACTTTAGCCAACATGTTGATGACTTTGAATTTATTCGATCCACACTGTCCACCGTACGGTGCTATGATTCTTACAGAATTAAGAAGAAATTCGGAAGATCAGTATCTTGTAACGGTAAGCAATTGAAGATATTTCCAATGTAAAATCTAAAATTTTCTGACTATGTAAATCACATACAGGTTTCGTATAAAAATTCTAGCGGTAAACCAGTACTTTTAACGATTCCTGGTTGTACTGCATTGTGTCCTCTAAATGAATTGATCGTGCTAACTAAAGATGTTATACCTCTGAATTGGGAGAAAGAGTGTGCAATAGGTCGAGACAAATTTGGATACAATGTGAACACAACTACAATTATCGGTGTGTGTTACAGTCCCCTCTACATGTAAAGAAATAGTTAATCATGTAATTAATAATTTTTTATTTTGATTTCAGTCACCCTAACGTCTTCTATAATGATGTTAGTTTTATTAATTTTATCTATAATTGGTTTGATTTATTGGCATTATAAACGAGAACATAATCAGTATTACCTTCGATTAACAACAGATCCTATATAATAATCGATATAGTATTGTTCGAACTAAAAGTTTATTCTCCAAACGGTTTTTTTTTCTAAATGAATGGTTAGGAATGTCAAGCCAAATGATAAATTTTTTTTTACTTCTACATACATCGACAAGTAGAGCAATGGCAAGCTAAAAAAATGAATTTGCCACACATTGTATCCAGCGTTTCGAAAGACACAAAACATTTGTACTTTTCTATTGATGAACTATTTTAGTTTACAAGCACGCAAGCAAAGGAAAAGGACGATTCTGTCGTGAAAAAAGCAAATGCCCGTAACATACTACGGTATTGCAAAATAATGATTGAAAACAAGGTAACTTTTTTTAAGATGAATTTTATAACAATTTTTATTAGCCTTACGAAGGAAAACATGTTAGACTTTTAGAGGTTTTTTGTGATTACTAAGTGCTATGTTACTTAAATTGATTTTCAAAACTTGTGAGGGAATGGTCTGTGATGCAGGATGAAATAGTATACAAAATAAAGGTGATAGAATTGATAATTTCGAGCACAATTTAATTCTTACGACATAATTATTTTTACGTACTTGTGTGATATCAATAAAATTTGAAATTTCTTAACGAAACTTAAGAACTCTGGTCGTTTGTGATATTTTGGCGAGTGTCTAGTCATAATGTTTTAAATTACAATAGCTGACGACATACGTCGATCTTCAGCAAGAAAGTGATATTCTTAACTATTATACTGCTACGCGTTATTCAATTATTGTTTAAACATGGTTATGTTGATGTACATATACATACGTGTATGTATGTATGTGCAAACAGACAATATGTAAAAATGTAAAAATTTCCAAATGGACCACCTTATTATTACGTGTTTCTCGGTGCTTGGTATAATAATAGACGAACAAATATATAGGAGTATGACACTCGAAATATTTTTATGACATTTAAGAGTGAATAAACAATATATTACAGAGGAAAACGATTGTCGTTCTTTAATTATACGTCATATGTATATATCCATTCATACAAACATACACTAAATGCACATATTTATCAAACTTTGATTTTTACCATACAACATTTCAAATTATCTACTCTATCGGTAAATTTGTCTAACAATTTGAGCATTTTGCTATTAGATGATTAGGCGTTGTACGGACCCTCAAATTCTGGTTCGATATCTTGCCATAAATGGCGCTATTTTTAAATATTCGTATGTGTAAATAAACTGTTTTGTACTTAGAGTATATATATATATACCTGGAGGCAGCATATTTGCTACTGCTGAATATATAATGTAAGCCGGATTGTATTACACCCTAATTTTTTCTTTCATTATTATTTCGACGGAAGTCAAAGTTTACATCTGGTTATGGGTCATAGTCAATGTCCAGTCCTTTTTTTCCTATATATACTCCCTCATCCCTCTCCCTTCCTAGATTCGTCATTGTTTCTATGTACATACATACATGCATACATCGTGTGAACCTAATCCCTATCTGTTCATATTTCCACAGAACTAGAGAACAAGATCACTGTGCAACAATTTTAAATAGAATGTAAGTATAATGGCTTTGTTCTTCTGTCCATGAACAATCATACATATTTGTCTAGAATTAACATACCTCCTCATAATATTGTTTTATAACAATATAATGTTTATTTATTTAAAAATTGAATATATACATATTATGTACACAACTTTAAGTTTTAAATATATGTGCTTCATATTTTGTACAACATTAAGGTATGTAAAAAAATATGAATCGTGAGTATATTATATATATATATATATATATATATATATAGTATTAGCTATTAGGCTGTATGAATATATGTATATATATATATACATATATGTACATGCGATATTGATCATTTATCAATAATCTGGTATCGTGCTAAAGTTGCCATTCCCGTTTTCTTGAATATTGAATGCTGGATTTGATCTGAAATATTATGTAAGTTAGCTTTGTATCTTAATTAAAGAATGACCATTGATTTACACGCAACTTATTCGTCATAATAAGGAGAGAACTTACCTTCCACAGGAATGCTTCAAAATCAAGTTAGCGTTTGACAGTTGACCCTTTCGTTGGTTAAAAATGACATGCATGCAATGAAAGTGTTTTTAGTTAACGAATTAAGGAATATCGATAGACTGTGATCAGGACTATGATAATCACGTATGACAGACATACAAGTGAACAACCAACAGACAGGTGACAAATAAATGTAATAAGTACACTAAGCAATTTTTACCAATGTGAATTTCAATTTACACAGTGCTATATTATACAATACTGTGTTATTGAAAAGCAAAAAATGAATGAACAATGCTAGATGATATTACATACCATATGCGATGCTACGTTGAAATTGGATGATCTTGAATGGTTTTCAAATAGACACACTTTTTATATTTGGAAGAAGGCGTCTCGAATAAAATAGTATCACAAGTCAAACTCATTTATGTACTTAAAGATGTTTCTGATACATTGAAGAAACTATGAATGAAAAAGAAATAATTCTAACCTTTAACTGTATTGGGTTTGTTTATTGTTGAATACCTATTAGGTACTTAAATGCTAATTAATGTATCATGATAATATATAATATAATATATTCCTACTAAAAGTATTTTTCTTACTTGCCAATTCAAGCATAAATTGATTGACACACACACGCCGCATTTATCTTTTCTATATGAAATGCTAAGAGATAGAAAGCAACATAATCAGTTTTACCACATTTTGTGTATGTTAGTATTTATTGAAGAACGTATACACTGTTAATGAGAAGCATATATGTATGTGTATATCGTGTATACATATAGGTGTAGAAATTCAATGCGTATAAGGTGGAGGACGGAAATACAACCACTCTAACATCTCTTGTATTTATGAACACAAGAACAAGAACCCAGTGTAAAGTAAATTGTTCCATCATGCATTCGCAAATACAGTAGATATTAACGTGATTCTGTTTACATGATCTATTATTCATTTTAATCTTAATTAAATTATAAAATCATTATCTTGGAAAATTGAATGAAGGCGGCTGGTACACTTATAATATTACACAACATGATTCCAAATAATAATATGACAATCATAAACATGCACATAATAACATTTTATTAGAAAACGATCACTATAAATGTTAGACGAATCTTTATGAAACGGAAACATAGCAGTCTCTTATCAAAAGTATGAATAAAGTCTTGGAAATGAATAATCGCTACTAACTGCAATCTTATACAGGCAGAAGAAAAATAATATTTCCGTTTGCATATTAAGATAACAAACAATATAAAACATATAAATGAACTAACTACTAGATTCTGTTAAAAAATCAAAAATACATAATCTCACCTTGCATATATAGTTGGGTTTGATAATCCAAGCGTTGTAGTTACGGGACTACCAATATATTTTCTTACAAACTGGAATAAAAGTTAAAACAAAACGATAAACCCAGAGTAAAGCAATAATATACCTAATGTGTCAATGCCAACGATACTAATTGGTACATACCCAATGGTCGCCAAGAGAAGTTGCACCCATACTAACAGCCATATGAATGATCAAGTAAAGACAAAATAGAAGATATAAGATGGAGTATATTGTGATTCCCAATATTTTTGCCCAATGATCCGGTTTCACTGTATTTATGACAAAATATATATTTATAGTTATCACTAGCCCAGACAATGCCGTCGCAACAATTTTGTTTCCTCTGAAATTTCAAAGGATGTCTCAGAAACTCAACAGATATAGAGAACAAACGCAAGAAGGATTACATACAATCCATTTCGAAATTCGCCCATTATCTGTGAGCTGCTCGTAAATGCTATAGTTGGCAAGGTTGCAAAAGGTAACTGAAGCGTCATAACGGCATTTAAGATGTCATTCATTTCAGTTAAATTGTCTATGTGGCTGAAAAATGCTACGAGAAAAGTGGGAATAATGGCTATCATTCTAGTAAAAAGGACTCGCTTCCAACGAGCCCACTGAAGATTCAAAAATCCTTCCATTGCAAACTGTCCAGCGTACGTGCCTGTCATCGTAGAAGACTGACCAGCGGCAAAGATACCTACAGCCCAAATGTACATTGCTGTGGCACCAAAGGCACAACCAAGATATATGCCACCTTTATTAAGGTCTACTGAAATGGTCTCGTTGCCCTTCTACAATTAATATAATTTAGTATTATTATTAAACTACCACTGAATTAATGGATTAAAGTATAACGGGGACATGTAAATAGTTCTACGATTTGATTACTCACCGTAAATGTTTCCATTCCTAAAGTGTAATTATGAGCCTCGCATACTTCATACTGAAACCAAATGAAATGTACAAAAAATTACGAGTATTTTACAATTAAATTATATTTTCTGTACCCTATACTCACAACTTCTTCATTTGTTTTATTATAAAGTCCATACGCAAAAACTGATACAACAAATACGTTTATGATAAAAGAAACGAACAATGCTATGCAAGCTTCAACAAAATAATACATATTTGCTTCCCTCACTTTCTTCGGTTCCCTACGATCGATATCTCTCGACTGAAAATCATAAATAGATGCATTAAAGAATTAATTTTGATAATAATTCGCAGTTCGATACACGAATGTGTCAACTTTCTTGATTTCAGAAATACGATATTATACCCCCTAAACTTTCCTTACTTTCACTAATGCACTGTGAAGGTATAAATTATGTGGCATTATAACTGCACCAACAATTCCTACAGCCTGTAATAATGTATCGCTATCGTAGGTTGTATCCCAGGGTAGAAACATGCCTTCCATTACTTCACCTTGAGGCGGCGCAGAGATAATGTACTAACAGAAACAGAAACGAAGATAGATATAAAAACATAGAGAAGAGAGGAGACTTTTGTATAAACTGACATATTTAACGTCTTTACGACGATGTGAATCATCATTAATTTCAATGAGCCTTAAATATGTTAACGAGGCCACTATTCTAAACATTTCCCATTAAAGTTTCTGGAAGTTGGATTTTAAGAAAAAATGGTTGCTACTACCGCATTGAATTCTACTTATACGTATAGACAGAATTCAATTATATAATATCAAAAGTTTTTTGCTAATATCTCTGAAACTAAAGCGAACCGCCAACTATCTCGAAGGAGAGAGTGTTGTTCGAACTTCCAAGGCTTATAACATATTTAAAACTTACAGAAATTGGCGAGGACCAGCATCGTCGGCAACTTCATCTTTTAATATATCGGTGCAACTTACCTCGTAACCAAAAGTAACAGCCATTATGGTAATGAGAAGTCCAAAAAAGAATTCCAATTTTCTCAAACCATATTTGTCTAACAATAAAAATGTAAAAGTGTCTACCACAGTAATGAGTACACCGCCCCATATAGGTATTCTAAAGAACATAGAAAGATATTTAATAGCTCTGTGTAAATTAATTTAATATAGCAAAAAATTAAGAAGTATATCGCTTACGCTTTATTTGTCAATAAAGATAGGGCAATGGCCGTGCCTATTACTTCTTGCATGTCGCTACCAATAATGGCTATCTCCATCATTATCCACAATATTAGTCTAGGTACTAGCTTATATTGTCTATAACACATCTCGGCTAAATGTAAACCAGTTACAACGCCGAGCCTGGCACTCAACCTTTGCATAACAAGACCCAAAATTGTTGCACTTAATAATACCCATAGTAACTAAAAAGAAAATAGGTCGGTGATACCATGGTACTATCGAATAAGATCACGATTGTGAACTATACCTTATATTTTGCTGCTACTCCAGACTGTAAATCGGACTCTATATTCCCAGGATCCAAGTAAGCTATAGACATTAAAAATCCAGGACCTGTAAAGGCCCATAATTTTCTGAAACTAAAGAAACCCTGTAAAAAGTTAATTCGATATTAATAACACTCAACGATTAGAAATATTTGCGTTTTTAAGTAGAACAAAAATTAGAACTCTAGTCTTAGATACGTTACGGTTTCTGCTTCTGGTATTGGAATTTTTTGATCGGCGAAGTATGCTTGTTTATTGGTGGGTGTTAACAACGTGTTTTCCGTCGCTTTAACATTGTTTTGTGCTTCCTGTGTTCTCTCATGTGACACCGTCGTGATCGTTGAATCATTGTCGTGTTCGATAACATAACTATTCTGCATGATTTATCGACGGGATGTGTCTAAATACGAATCGCTGGATTACATTAACATTAGGAACTATTCCAATTGGACAGGAACGACGGAAGAATCAAAGTCTGTCAACGTTATGTTGATCAAGCAACGTGTTAATCAAAAGCGTATCACACAAGTATGACTAATCTATCAAATTGATATGTTTTAGAGAGACATACGGCGTATTCGAAACATAAATGTTATTTGAACATTTCGTTAATATTACCCAAAATTAAGAATTAGTACGTTACGATTCGATAGAATCGAAGAAGAAATGTAACTCAAAGAAAGCTGAAACAACTAAAAGAAAAAAACAGAAACGATCGGTGCGATGGTCGCGAAAGTCGCCAACAAACTAATTGCATCGATCGGTCCCGTCACCGTCACCAGTCACCAGTCGCCAGTCACCACTACCACTACCCGCACCAGTCCAGATACCACTACACGACTTCGTTACACGACCCGAAGTAATAGAGTGGTACCACTTATTGTTAGCACTAGAAGAGACTACATACATAGAGAGTTTAGGGACAACTATACAATATTACACAGTAGCGTAGAGATTGGGATGCAACACTGTTATCTATTTTCGACATGCACTCTCCCTTCTTCCTCCACATGCTACATGTGTATGTATTTCTTAATGTCTTATTCATCAAGGCATTATGGAATTTCCAATCGACGCAATTAAATTGGATTCCTACGAATCGAAGTTCTTGGTATTGTCTATTGTATCTAATGAACAGATAATATGCGTAGTCACATATGTCGGATACGCATGATACAAAGGGATTCCCCGTCTACATATAGGTACACACTCATGATATATCCAACCGTTGTTGAATGTAAATAACTGTTGCTATCATAAGTTGAGTAATAAGGCTGTGTGACTCTAAAATGAACTCCTACTAATTCTTATGATCGGTAATTTGCTTTACTGATACCACTTGATACCGTCTCTGCTGAACTATCTTGACCGTAAAACATGATAAACACTTGATTAACTTCGTGTTCAATTTCACATATCCTAATATCAGAAGTTGATCAACTATGCGATTAGATACGCTACCCCGCAGCAACATGTATCGTGTGGATTCGATTATCGAAACATCTATAATGTGTGTGTATTTATATTGGTCTCGTACTCGTACTATACATATAAATGCATGTAAGGTTATTTAATGGACTTCGAGGTGGTTAACACAATTTCTCGTTGATTTTTACGTACACGAATAACCTATTTACATTGTATACCTACGTATACATATAGATAAACACATGTATACATGCGTGAGTTAGGCCTACAGTCTTATCACATATTTCAATAGCAAGATTAACCAATTTCTTATCAATTTAATATCGACTCCGAACAAGCTATACTCTGTTACGTTATGAAATACATATCACTTTCGTCGTATGCAATTTGTTGTGGAATCGTTTCCTCGTAGGATTAATAGCGAATACGCATACACGTACCTACGTATGTACCAACATACAGATGCAGAGTAAACTGCACTACGTATGACTATTCCCGTTTCGATATCAAGGAACAAGGAAAACTAACAAAAAAGAAAAAGAAAATCTACGTTTTTATATATTCGAATGTTTCTCAACTTTTCCACAGAAGATTACGAAACAGCCAATAAATCAATTTACGATGATTAGCCGAAACAAAATGCAGCGCGCGAGTTATTCGAGAAAATTTTCAAGTTATGTTTGTTTAGATCGAAGGTTTAGCTCGATGGTTTTACAATAGACTATTCCAATATTTTACACGTTTCCAATGAAATTCATAAAAATAGTACATGTGTGCATATCATGCTTATCGATACCCAGTTCGTTATCGTTCGTAATGTTACATTAATCGAACTCTAATCAATACGGTCGTATACGTGACGATTGTTCGCTGTGCGATAACAAAAGGTAAATAAAGCGAATGAGAGAATACATTATTCACCGATCACCGTTCACCGCTGATTTTTCCTTGACACTAATTCTAAACGCGAGGGGTAAATTATATCAATGCCAGAGGAACAGGAACTTGACATATGTGTATGTATACCCTTTGATTTGACATGCGAATCTATTCTCTGTTTTTTCCGTACATGTTCTAAACATTCAATCTTTTAATAATACGCTTTGTTCAAATCTTTAATTTCAGCTATTACAGATGACTGTGTCGATTGTCGATATAGTATAAAAGAACAAAAAACAAAACAAATTACAACATTGTGAAGTATAATTAATATTTGCTCCTCCTTATCGTCGTTTGGTTTTCTCACACTGTGTCGATGCTGCAGATTCTTCTGAATTACATACATACATATAATGTTCACCCCGTAGACGCGCCACGCCGCTGGTGCAACACTGCAGATAAGCAGCTCGGCAGCCATATTGAATCTTAGTTTGTAAAAAGTTTTGATTTCTTACAGGTGGCAGTGAAAACACTGCCTGTACTATGTAATAGAGTGTAGGCAGTTAGGCAGTTGTAGGTGTAGGTTGTAATTTGCTTGTATTGTAGATAGCCCCCTGGAGGACGCTGCTCTGCGCAGTATGTATGTAATCGAATAATTTTTGCCGCTACGTATACTACATATTTATGAAACATATGACTACATATGTACATATGTATATGACACGTTCGGCAAGAATCATTGCGTGTGTATAACATGCTCTAAAATTATTAACGCACTGTTTACTGTGTTTTCGCACGATTATTAAACATTTTTATACGAAGGTATAATGGCATCGTTAAACATCAGCGAAAAGTTATCCGAAGTTTTGGAGTTGTTTCTGTTGCATCCTGACTATAATATTGTATCTACCAGTTATCTCGATCTTTTGTTAACCCATATTTCTGAGATCATAAAAGAACGTGAGTAAGAATGACAAATGTATATATCTCATATTCTCTAATCTATTCTCTGTTTTTTCCTTACATGTTCTAAACATTCAATCTTAATAATACGCTTCGTTCAAATCTTTAATTTCAGCTATTATAGATGAACATTGCGTGCCATTACAAAATTGGGTATTAAAATCATTAGATATTTGGAGCGCAAGTGGAAAACCTTCGCAGCCTATAAGCGTATTTGCTTTGAAACTTGTGGGACTTATGTCTCGTAACGAGATACATTTTCATTATTGGATGTCTCAGAATGTATATGATAGATTATGCGATATATTTGAATTTCGACAAAACAATGTAGCATCTTCGATTAAAATGGCTTATATTACGATGCTACTAGACTTGATTCAACATCGAAGCGGCAGACAATGGGTTATAGATTCTGGTGATCGACACAATTTTAATATCTACAAATATATTAAGCGATAAGAATAATACTAGGAACAATTGTGTTCGTTTTACAGATGTTTGGAAAGATGTTGTGAATTATGCACATTGGAACCACACCATGTATGTCACACGCGAAAGCCAAAAGCTTCTGTGTCTTTTACTTCTAAACGAACAACATAACATTGCTTTTTGCAAGGATGTTATTTCGGCGATCGCCGCACCATTAATGACCAACAGTTTTGAATCTCAGGTGTGGCAGAAGTTGGAAGATAATTATTTAGAGCAGAATAAGATATTGTGTACTACGTTAGATTTATTGACTAATCTCATCGAAAATACATTATTTGCAAACATGGATAACACCGTACCAGAATTATGTCAAGAAGTTATTAATTTAGACGCAAGAGTAAAAGCCCTTTTCGAAGCTTGTCTCGGTACAAAATTTTTGTTCCACGTACATAAGCTGTTGGTTCTTTGTTTATTCGTTCCATTGAAACGTGCTCTCAGAGAAGGACAGGAAACGATCGATGCTGAAATATCACAAAAATTTTGTTACGATATGTGTTACACGTCTATGATGTTACTATCGAAAAGGTATATTACAGAGATTGTGAAAACAAACAAGTTTTTAATGATTTACTGGAAGAAACTTCAATCGTTGCATGAATTCGTTCTGCCGCAACAACACAAGTTCGAACATCAATTTATAAGCATAATGGTAAGCATTTTCTTTGTTACATTTTATCTAATTGTTAATAGATAATTGCAACATGTTACTCGTGTTAATAGATCATACCCTTGGCAGTATGCGTGAAACAGGCATATATATCTCATGATCTATTCGACATGTATGTAAATAAAATGTGCGACGTGACGTGTACAGCGGTACAGAGGCTAGCATATAATATAAGAGACACCGTATATAAAAATGAATTACCTCTGGCACATATTTGTAAAGTATCTATCGATATAATACTAGAAATAACTGACATCATGGACAGGGTAAGCACACTGCATATTCTAAAATTATATTAATATTTAACTTTAAAGTAATCGTAACTGATACTATAACAGGATATTGCGGTAATTACATTTCAAACATTGTGCCATGTACTCAAGAATTTTGTGCCGGATGTTTGCAATGAACTAGATAATATAGAAGCGAATGGTATAACAAATTCACAAAATGGTTCAAAGAAAACCATACTTGTATCTCCTTTGGAGGGAAATCCTATAGTTGATCATCCGACACTGTTAGCGTCGCTTCTCAACGGTTTGGCAGTGATGACAGAAAAATTTAAGTTGAAGTGGCGAGAATGCGTGGAAACCATATGTTTGCTATACCTTGGTCAGGAAATTTTAAATCACTCAGGAATTACACCTGTGGTATGTGTTTCATACAATTTGTACGATTTTCGTATTTTCAAAATAATATTAAACTTTATCTTCAGATCTCCGTGAAAGCTTTAAAAGTATGCAAATTGGCAATTCAAAACTTTATGCCCCCTAATTTAGCTCTGCTCGTTGAAGCAGACAGCCATATGAACGAAATAGGACCAACTCTTTTTAAAAGATTGCATGACGTTAACTGGGAAGTAAGGGACAGCGTGTTAGAGGTTTTAAACACTATTGCTGCAATTTCGGAATGTAGTATGTATATATATGTATATATACATATAATGTGTGCGCGCGTGTGTGTGTGTACGTACGCTATATGAACGTACGTTACCGTGCAGTAAAATTGTAACACTTGTCTACAGAATATCCTGCTTTCCAAGACTTTTTATTAACTAATAAGTTTCTACAAGTGGGACTCGATATTGCTAAAACAGACAGTGAAAGTTACGTTCGAGCGTCTGCTTTATCGTTCATCTCGACTACCGTTCGAATACACAAACTATGGGAAGAACAATTATCACAGCTCAATTTACTGGTACGCTTTGTAACAAGTCCATAAATATTAATAAATTTACATTCGAATACATGGTTTCCTTTATCTTTCAGGAACATGCGATAGAGTTACTTAACAATGAAAGCGAAGCTATAGTTAGAAAGGAAGCTGTGATATTAATTAAGGAATTATATGTCAACTATAAATGGCCGTAAGTGTTGTGGCATAAAACTAACAGATCGTGTTTATTACAATTGCGCAAAATGCAGTTTGGCTTTCTCTCTCATTTAGGAAAGATGTCGTCGATTCTATGACACGAACAATGTCAACAGCCGCAGTCCTTGACCTCCATTGGGAAGTAAAGACAAGTGCTCTCGAATTTTGGGAACATTTTATAAAGACGCATCTGTCCGATCAAGGGGTGCTCGATGGTCATTTTCCAACGGTAACATTCTCTAAAGAACATAGAAAAATTGTGTCGTTAAATGACACTGAAATAAAACGAAGACTTAACAAAGCCTTAGATGAATTAGCAAAGCAAAATTGTTTAGGGGTAAGCCAACTTATATGATTTAACAAACATTGTAAACGGTTCATAATATATTTTGTGGACGTAATATTTACTGGAAATTCCAGGTTCTTTTGATTACTTTAGAAAATGACAGTGACTTTGAAGTATGCAAGACATCGGCAGCTATAATAACTAAATTGAAGACATTCCTTTTAAAGTACAAACTCGACGAACCTTTACCAGAATTGCTTCCACCTAAAGACTGTGCTATATTAGATTCTTCTTATGTAAAACCTGACGGAAATAAGATTGCAAATTCAAATTCTGAGAAGAGGTTTTGCAATTCCACTAATGTTATCGAAGAAATTGTCGATGCCAACGACACGAATCTGTTAGCATCTATTTACGAAAATTCGATGAAAATGAACGAAAATGGTGAACCGCAAAGTACGGAAGAGGAAAAAACATTCCAGTTTATTTCTTGCGTGTCCAGGCAATCTTTCCTGCAAACGATTTTTAATTCAAACATCGATGCTATCATCGAAGAAAAACATCGATGGTTGACCACGTACACTACCAGCTTTGAATCTATGTTAGACGACATATTGACGGTATATAAGCAGGAAGACGTCATTCCGATGGATTGTTACTGATTGAGAAAAGAATGTGCCTTAGCAGTCGCGTGTATATAAATATCTACTGTATGCAGCTTTTCATTTATACGTTATCTTTAAAACAGTCTAATTTCATTTGTTCTTCATGATATCATTTTATATCGAGTCGTACATTCTACATTCAACACTCTACAAGCGTACGGAGGGAATTATAATGAAAACGGAACGATCATTATAAGATATACAATTTATTCGATGTACAAAAATAGAGTTTGTTGTGTACATAGACGTGATTAGCTGGAATAATTTAACGCATAGTACTTTTTACATAAAAAGAAAAGTTTTAAGACATTTTATAGTCTTTGTATATTTGTAAACAAACAGAAGTTCTGATAAAAAGAGATTTAGTTCAAGATTCATTTTTTCATTCGCGCGAGTCTGTTAAAATACAGATGCTACAATTTGCTCGGCAAAAGTTTGTTTCTCATTAGAATTCAGATCTACGGATAAATTCCACAAGAGAAGCTATCGCTAGATAGATTATACATAGAAATACCTTCGTCGGACTAGATATTAAGTGTAATCTCGATCAACGCTTAAAACATTACTTTGTTAAATTACTGAATTATCGATCATATTTTCAATACTACAACTGGCAGTTGTCAAAATGTGTATATGTAGGTAAGCGATTAAATTTTTCTGTTTTCAGTTTCTGTTCATTTTCCTTATCTGCAACTGCTACATTTTTTCTTTTAGTTAAATCAAGAGTAAAATTATTAATAATACGAAAGAAATCATCGTGTGTTCTGATCAGTTTTCTTTGTTATGACATATAATATATTAAATATTATATTTTTAAATAAATGTGTCACTATTTCTAACTAGAAAAATTTCATGATATATATACATGCCGCATTTTGCATAAGAAGCCAGGTAAATCCCGGCACGAATTNAGACAGATTTGTAAATATTTGCAATTGATAAATATAGAATGGATCTTTGGCAACATGAAATGATAGTTTTGGATTAGGTTTTGCATTAGTTTAATTAATTACAAATTATTTTCAGTTTTATGTCTAATATCGAATTTTGGAACAAATGATTCGTGCCGCATTTTGCATAAGAAGCCAGGTAAATCCCGGCACGAATTTTCTGCTGCTCCTAAACAACCGAATGCAATGCACTCCGATGCAGCGGCATTTGTTCCCAATTTCGATATTAGACATAAAACTGAAAATAATTTGTAATTAATTAAACAAATGCAAAACCTAATCCGAAACTATCATTTCATGTTGCCAAAGATCCATTCTATATTTATCAATTGCAAATATTTACAAATCTGTCTTGGTTAATGAGTAATTAACAATGTTTTCGGAGGCTACTTCGGAAAGTGGCTATACGGTGTCGTATGTACATACTCTAGAAATTCGGCTAAACGGAAGAGTGGAGATGGGTGAGTGCGAGTGGGATGTAAGTAGGGATATTTTCCCTATTTTTAATTAATCTTATGATTTTTCCACAAGACCGGATGCAAATTTCGGCAAGATTCGCTTGTAGAGGAAGAGAGACATAAGAGGAAGCTCTAATAAATAATTAATTTTATGATATCACAACAAACATAACATAAGAGAGATTCAGGGAAGAGATCTCTAGCACTTTGTCTATAATAGTTTGCATACACGAGTCAGAATGAATGAATTACAAATTATTTTCAGTTTTATGTTTACTGTTGAATTTTCGAACAAATGATTCGTGCCGAATTTCGCATAACAAACCAGGTAAATTTCGGCACGAATTTTCTGCTGCTCCTAAACAGCCGAATAGCGCCACTCCGATGCAGCGGCAAAACGCTCAAACCGTTGGCCAAATACCGACCAAAAAGTCTTACTATTCGCCGATAGATGGCGCTGGCAGTCAACTTCAAGGCATTAATCGATCTGACGGTAATTTGGCTAACAGTTTGAACGTTTTGCCGCTGCATCGGAGTGGCGTTATTCGACTGTTTAGGAGCAGCAGTAAATTTGTGCCGGTATTTTACCGGTTTCTTATGGGAAAAGCGGCACGAATCGTTCGTTCGAAAATTCAGTGGTGGGACACAAAACTGAAAATAATTTATAATTAATTAATCTCAGTTGGAATATGCAAACAATTGTTATAGACGCATCGAATAAATTCGAGCAAATGATATCGTTAGTTTCTAAATCGTTACATAAGTCGGAACGTAATTCGCTCGTAGGAACACTCGATCGTGTTGCAATAAATGAAAGTATTACACGGACCGTTCGGTGCAGCTATATAAATGAGAAAAAATGCCAAACTTAAATAGCCACCGATTAAATTTAGATCGTAAGAAGACTAGGATTGCGCGCATCCGAACTCGTATCAAGATTCTGTAGCGTACATCGTATGTATGCATGTACGATGTAGTTCGCGATTAATCGGCGAGTGTTTCGCATCGTGATTGGTCGAGAATAGAGAACGGGCGAATCAGCGTGGAACGCAGGGTGCATGCGCGACTCTCGATTCTCGATGCTCCGAGCGTTGTCTCGACTCGAGCGTGTTCAATTCAACGATTCGACGCGGCTTTCGGTCCGTGTTACTCCGTTCTCTGTTTCTGTTACACATTCGGTAGGTTTCGGTGTTCGGTGGTCCGTCTTCGGTCTTCAGTCGTACGCGGTACTTTGACCTGTTTGTACGTAAACCCGTGTTCGATGTTATCGAATATTTGTCGACGCTAAATATTTCAGTGCGTGTCCGACACCGATTGTGAGAACCGGCAACTGGGAGTACTCGAAGCTTGCATGAAACAACTGTACACGTGTACTCTGCGAAACGTGACTCTACAAAATGTCTTTCTATTTTCGTGAGAAGCCAAAATTTGCCGATAAACTGCGCGGCAGATCGAGCGACGAACTTCTACAGGAGATCAAGCAGCAATTCGACGAGGATAGTAAATCGTTTTTTGAGCCAACTGGCAGCAGCAGACCGGCAGGACGAGATCCGTTCGAACGACACACAGTTTTCCCAAGAGTGAGTCGAACGCATCCTGTATCCTTGTTAAAGTAAAAAATAAGGGCTTTTAATTTCCCTTTGTTTAGTTTCGTTGTCGCTAAGTAGGTACTCGCTATTACTGCTCGACAACGCGTTATCAACTATCCTATTAACGTTGGACACGATCGAGCGCTCCGCGTGCACTTTCGTCGACAGTGTAAAAAATCGTTGGGTTCGATATCACGAGCTTCTTTCCTTCCCTTCTCTTCTCTTCTCTTCTCTTCTCTTTTCTTTGTAAACGACTCTCGGACCGCGTATTTACAAATACAGAGAAATTTCACATTTATAGGATGGCCCAATTTTGGTACCGTACGGTTTCACCCGCGTGTATTTAGTTTCCTCTAGTTACCGTTACCGGTTATTCTCGTCTCGCAATCTCGAATACGTTCAGGGCACGAGAGCAGATAATTAAACTCGTACGAATAAAGTGCTCGTTACGTTTCTGCCAGTAAATTCGTGTTTTTACGGTTAAAACAACTATTTTATCGTAGCGGAATGTCTCTGTCACGTGTTCCAAGCCGTTCGCTAGCGTTATCGTCGCCGTCGCCGCCGCTGCTGCTGCTGCTGCATCGATATCGTTGAAACTTACCAACAAACTGACGTAATTGTTAGCCTCGTAATTCGTTCGCTTCGAAACATCGAAAGCTCGAGAGCAAACCTGTACATACGATGTTCTATTCGATCCGCGGTCCTATTTGCTGTTTAACTCGAACCTTCCGCCGACCTTACGCGTATCTATGTACCTCTTATCGTAAACAAGCCTTGTTAACGTACGCGCGCGCCATCTTTTACAATACTTTGCTAATTAATCTTACGTTATTTATCGCCGACCCTCGACGATATCGATACGTTGCGCTTTCTCCAGTCGTAGGGAACTTTTGCTTTTGCTTCTGTTTGTCAATTTTACGCGATCGTTGGCACCGACGCGTCGTTGCAGGATTTATAATTTGATTCGCGATACGATCGATAAAAACCCTGTTCTTACGATTTTCATTCTATCGCTATCGTTGTTGTTATTATTCATTTATGGGGAGAACTATTATACTTTGTATAATGTACAAATAGATCGCATATAACTGTATAGAAGTCAAGTTTTATAGATTTGTAGATTTATCGGGATAAATGAAGAGCGCGCGCGCGTACGAGGATAGATACAAGGTCGATTCAGGGTCGATGCAGGGTTTCCGTTGACAAGTCGTTTCGCAACACGCTTAAACTGGACGCGATCTATTTGGAATCTATTTGGTCAGGAAATTCGATCCGGTGGTAGGGAAAAATGATCGAACGAACGAATCGAAGGATATCGTAAGTTACCGCGATCGCTCTCGTTTTCTTTGTTGCGATCAACGGATATGGAAATTCAACGTGCCCAATCGACGCGACAAGGTCGATCGATCGAAGGATCCTCTGTATCTCGGTTTGGTATGGTACGATTAAGACCATCGTACGATGAGGAACGTTGAATTTCATTCGACAAAGAGATTCGAAGCTTCGAATGCGATTTATCTCGATGCGTTTGGTTTATCGATCCTGTTCGAATCCCTCTTTCGTTCTTAAGAGTGGGGCTCGAGTCATAATTCGAACGGTTCGTTCGAATCAATGTTTGCTCAAAAATAGATATCTATCATTTGCAAAGGCTACCTGGAGAGAGGGAGAGAGAGAGAGACCGATAGATCTCATACGTAGATAAGAGAGAAACGCGGAGATAGCCGACGACCAAAGACGAAGGTGACAATCGAAGAAAATCGATACGTTGGGGTCGAACGATCTCCGAGCAAGCTCCGACCGTGTCTACGACCACGTAGGAACGTTTTCAACGACGCCGACGCCGAGAGACCTCTCGAAATAGCCGCCATTGATACCATTGACTCCATTCCAGAGCGAGAACATCGATCCGGAACGATTGCTCGAGGGAGTAATATTTGGCGGGTCGTCGCGATGTGACAGAAATGTCAAAACTTCTAATCGATACCACGTATCTATATACGTGTACGCGTCGTCTCGCCTTCTCGTTTAGAAACGAAAGCATCCGTGAAAAGCGTTTATGCCAATATTTGGTCGCGGAAAAGGAAACAAGAATATAATATATAGCCGATGTTGTCCGAGTACTTCCGTTCCCGAGTCCCCTCGCCAGGACCTTGCATACATTTTTGTCCAGCAATCGTTGAATTTACGAACGAGACCGTATCGGGCATAAATGGAAGGGCAGGCTTTCGGATTCGCTGCTTTCTGTGCGGTGCATCCTAATTGCTCCGTGAGTCGTGTCGCGAAGAGATCGAGAAACTTGTTCGCAACCGCAACCGAACGTGCAACGTGCCCTCGGGTTTGCGGTGACCAGGGTTACCAGGAAACTCTGCCACATGCCAGGTTTGCTCGGTTTGGCGACCGGTAGCGTCGGCGAGGATCTATCGAACCTGGCATGTGCCGTGTGCCAGAATTTCCTGGCAACGGCATCACCCTGCTGGTGACGGAGTCGCGCCCTTGTTCCGGTGTGGATCGCCGATACCGCTCTTCCATCGGCTCCAATTTTTACCTTTTACCTTTCACCTTTTAACGCAGCACCGCACCCGGTTACGGATATCGATTACAATCTGCTGGGAAAACGTCTTTTATCAATTATTATTACACGCTAGAGCTCTCTCTTATCGCGTTAAATCCGC